TCCCGACATCCTTTTCTTCCTCTGATACCACACACACACACACACACACACACACACACACACACACACACACACACACACACACACACACACACACACACACACACACACACAAAAAGGGAAAAAACAGTTTAAGATGTGTGAGTGAGTCAGCCTCCCTATTCACTCGCTCCTCATGCGTGACATCAATAAAATGACCTGACCGACAACACTCAAACACACCTTTCTGTCAGTTCCAATTTCGTTCCTGCTACGGATCTATTGCTGAAAAAGGTGCCGCGGTGCACAAAAGCCGCATATTGCACAAAGACACCAGGAGATAGTGTGCTTGCTAGGGTTCCATATGCAATCATTGCACGGCTGGTGACGCATGGACAATCAATTTCTGTGTTGCAATACACACCGAAAACGCAAAGATTCTGACAACGAGCCTGAGGAGCAATTGTTTCAACACGAGTGTTGGTGTTACATTCTGTTCAGCGTTTATTGTGCTGGCCCCAAGTGCAGGGAAGCAGACGTAAACAGACAGATAATGTCCGCAAAGAACACATATGACAGCAACAAACTGCACAATGTGCACGATGACCAGACAGAGGGAACGAAATACACGTACACAAACAAGCCAGACTTTGAACTATATGACTGATCGAGATGGAACTGGGCAATCATGAACAAACAGCCAGCGGCTGACTTTTGCACAAGTGTCACAATGCAACAAACAATTGCCACGTGACTAACTGGTGACCAGTACAGGGTCTAGTCCACCTAGATCGGGGGTCGGCTAAGCCGCGGCTCCAGAGCCGCTTGCGGCTCTTTAGCACCGCCCTAGTGGCTCCCCGAAGCTTTTTCAAAAATGTTTGAAAATGGAAAAAGATGGGTTAAGTTTTTAAGGTTTTAAGTAGGAGGGAAAACATGACACAAACATTCTTAACGTTTTCTAATGCTGTAAAAATGTGTAGAATAAAATTTAAATTCCAACATTTCTGTTAATGAAGATTTGCGTCATAGCCTGCGACACACGTTTCTATTTGCAGGGCGGGATGCCAGGCAGGTGGATGTTGCAAAAAAAAAAAACAAAACAAAAAAAAACAGCCTTTCATGTACAATTCACTGAGGGTACTGGCAAAGAATGGGAATCTGCAGGGCCGATAGAAGCATTTTAAAATGGTACACATGAGCTACATAGTTAACACGCTTGCAAAAGTGCCCACAGTATTTTGTCGTCTCATTTCAGTGCAAGCAAAGTAAAGTACAAAGTAATTACATTGGTTGCAAGCATACTTTGCAACACGGATGAAACTCGTGAATGCATTTTTACGATAAACCAAATCAGTGACCCAGATCTAAAGCAGGCAGTTTTGCACGTCAGTCATTCTGACATTCAGATTCTCACTTTTCGTACAAAATCACATTTACAATCAGTATGCAATCTCCTGGATGCTGCTTAATTCCATCTGAATTCAGTTTTCGGTGGATTCACCAAAGACGTCGGCAAACAGCGAAATAACGCTACAACCTCCCCGATAATTCATCGAAAATGAATCCCCGCGCATCAGCGGGAGGACAATCTCAGAGATGCTGTCTTGACAGCCCATCAAAGCTCAAACGCTGTCTGGAGACCGATTCTTTCAGCTTCATTTTGAATGTCATTCGGTTTTTGATTTTAATCTCTTATATGAAAGTAAGTCCCCGCTGGTGCCTTACCCGCGTGAGTCAGCGTCTTTCATTTAAAACCACACACACACACACACACACACACACACACACACACACACACACACACACACACTCACACACAAACAGTCATAAGCCCACAGCTGCGCACTCTTTTGTCTTCCTCTTTCTCTGAAAGCATGATCGTAAGGAACGTTTACCCTTGCATCCATTTTAACCCTTTCATGCGCCCTGTAACCTGAATACACGGTCAGCTGTCCGCTGTACTAACCACTGTGCCTCAAAAGGTTAATTCTATCTTCACATCATATAGCAGGATGAGGCGAAATAATCCTTTGGGGATGCTGTAAGCTTTCTGACTTTTTGTGAGACGGATGACAGAGAAGCAGAATGAATACACAGAGGATTCATTAGCAACGCGACACAATTTTGGGGTTTGGACAAAAAAAGATCTTTTTGTCTTTTTACTTCCATCTACCTGTTCCAGTCTTCATCCCACCTACTCCCAAGCTGTTCTCGTTTTAGCCTGGTTTGTGTGTGTGTGTGTGTGTGTGTGTGTGTGTGTGTGTGTGTGTGTGTGTGTGTGTGTGTGTGTGTGTGTGGCCCGAAATAGCTTTCCTTTTTCATTGCTCCATCACTTCAAGATAAAATGTGCACAAGGTCCAGCGCACACATTGAATCACGGCACATTTGCCTGTGTTTCTCTTCTCTCCGCCAGAGTTTGAAGTGGCTCTCGTCCTCGGCCATGCTTGCATCTTCTCTGTGGTGACCAATGTCGATGAATCATTTATCAGTCCTCCGTCTGTCCTGGCCCATCTGTGTGGGCTCATCCGCAACTTAAAAATGTGATTAAAAGATTTCACAAATACAGTTTCTCCCCATTTCATATCCTTCGACATTCTTCACTTCCATTCTATATAATTCCATATCATACAATCTCTCTCCACGATTCCACACTCTGCGACGTCATTCCATGTCACTCAAGATTGATTCTATTTCATGATCGCAAATCATTTCATACCATCCAAAGTCCAGCAACTGACCTTTTGACTGAAATGCGAACCGCCTTCATTTGAGTTAACAGGAGCCTTCTCACCAAGTACATCGAGTCCAAGGCGTTACTCAATTACCCAAACTTTAACACACTTATTTCAAGGACATTGAAAAGTGCCAGCGGAAAGTTACAGACAACTTCTGACCTCACTGAGCTTGTACATTTTTTGGTGTGTGTGGGGTGGGGGTATTGGGGAGGGGCATCATAAGCTTTGGAAATTACTTTTTTTTTTTTTTTTAAGTGAGTGGTTCATCATGAGGTCACCACTAAAGAGACACCAGGTGATATATGGTTTCTGCAAGGAGGGAAGGAGAAGGGAGTGGTGAGGGTGGGAAGAGGTGGGGGTGGGACTTAACACCCCATTCACGATGTTGAATGTTTTGGCAGCCTGCATGGTGGCGCCCTCGCCGTGGCAATTTCTCTTGGCGCAGCGGATAGAAAATAGGCCAAGGTACTCGCAGGAATATGTCGAAAAATATGAAAATGCACATTTTTTTTAAAGCTACAGCATGCTCCCTGCACAACTTCCACATTTATTTTACATAAAATAGAGGGTATATTCTTGAGTACAGTGATTAGCTATACAGTGTGTGGTACCTTAGCACCTTGAAGGAGAGACAAGGACTTGGATGTACACACTCATGCCTTTCTGGCATAATTTAAACATCCACAAATGTTGGACTCTGGAATCGAATGGAATTATCTGTAGAAAAATCAGTATTTTTAGCCGTAAATATTTAGATTAATTTGTGTTTAGACCATTGATCACGTTTCCTTTGCACTGCAATTTTTTTTTTTTTTTTTTGTAGAATCAGTTCTGTGCTTCCACTGTGTGCGTCATGTTTTGATGTGGAGGAAAGGGCACCAGCAGGTCGAATAATGAATATTTGAAGGGACTCACTGAAGTGGCGGGGGGCACAGAATGGCTCGCTTGTCTGCTCTGCAAGTCAGTCAGTCATTTAGCCACAGGTATGTCATAAAACTAAAGCGACATCACTCATGCTCGGAAGGAAAGTGGAGTGCAGGAAAAGAGTTGGTCACAAAAAAATAAAATAAAAATAATTGGTAGAGGGTAGAATAAGGGGGCATGTGAACATGCATAGGTAAAGGTTTATAGCATGAACTAATGTGCTGATGTGGTCAAGCTTTTCATTAGTGCTGCAGATGTTGCCAAAAAGTGTGATGGCACAGTTTCAATTTTCACAAAGATTACGATCCATGTTTTCGCAACATCTGCAGTCGTAATCGACAAAGAATAAATCACATTTAAAAAAATGTGGAAAAGCATTTATTGTACTGTGCCAGATTAATTCTGAGGTCAAAAAAAATGGCAAACAATAATTTTGCTGATTTTGAAACAACTTTCCCAATAGAAAAATAGCACAAATACAAATTATCCACCCCAGGGTCAAAAAGGATACTCGAAGTAATGCAATAGCAGTGACGTACATTGCAGATGCACCGCACCATCCCTCTTTTTAAGGTCCATAATTATAAGTGTAAAAAGAAGTTAATTACTGTTAAACATGAAAACAATAAAACACTACCTTAACTTTGTTAAATAGAATAAACAAAACATATGTTTTGAATGGAAGTCCACTCGCAAATTAACTCTAGAAGAATAGTTACTTTGGAGAGGACTTTGGCCTGGACGGCTATTATTATAGTCCATTAAAACCAGTAAATCCTTGGCTGACAAAAAATATACACTGTATCCCGTCCAACGCAACACACACAAAAAAAGAGTACTGACGTGATTAGTGGTTGCTGTGGTTTGTGTGTGTTTTTTCCCCCGTCAGCGAGATTCAACAGCATTGCTAAAAAACTGTCTTTGCCTTCATTGGGAAACTCTTGCTCAAAGTCTGCTTTGTACCCAGCGTTGCATAAGTACATGTTTGCCACTTCTGCAGTCAGAGAGGCGCTGTTGTTTGTCTAAGCTCCAAAAACTGCATCCGCATGCAACGTGAACTGTGCTCCACTTTTATGCCCGCTAGCTTGAAATGCATCTTTGTGTGTGTGATTCTGATATGCTATTCTGTGTTGGTGAGAAAAATATGTTTGTTTCTCTTACCTTGCGCGTTAAAACGACAATGAAACACGTTACATATAACAATCACGGTAGAGAACCACAACCCTAGAGAGGAATCTAGTTAGCCTAGCTTTTAAAACAAGTCCATGGGTACTCACCTCTTCAGAGATTGTCTTTGGGAAATCTCATCCCTGAAGTCATTTTGTGATTAATGTTCTAAAGGCCCTGAAATACTAGCGCTCTTCATTCATCTGTAAAGGAAGATGAGCAGGCAAGCTCAAATGGAGACAGGTGTGATGAACTGAAAATGCATACCCCATGCTCATGTAACAGGTTACAATCGACTATTCATTTCACTGAAACACTTCTATTTTTGTTGTTATGACGTAATAGATTTTCTGTTTTTGTTGTTGTTCCTGTTTCTATGTGGGCACTAATGACGTGTCTGTTGTGCGTCGTGCGGAGACTGATTGCGTGGTGACGTTATGATGCGTGCGCGAGACCCGGCCACTTTCAATTCGATGTGGCCAAGGTAAGATATGTTCACGATATCTTTCTCCCCCAATAGCCGCCCCAATTGGAGTAATAAAACGGGAGATTGGCCCCTCTGTGTTTACGAAAACGTTGTTGGAAGATAGTTTGGGTGATTTGGGGAAAGGGTTGTAGTCGCCGGGTGACGTTTGGATGCGCTCTCCGTCGAAGGATTAAGCTAATGTTGCTAACGTCGATTAGCGCGTAACCTATTTGTATTGTGTCTGATCCCCAGGAGAGACAGCGAAACCGTCCGAGTAAAACACCAGTCTCACGTCATTTTATGCACACAGGTATGTTTTTTTTTTTTTGAAATTGTACATTTTGTTGTCTGATGTGGTCGAGTAGTCACCGAGACCGTCCGAGGAAAACACTGGTCTCATCCAAAATTGTCACCACGTAAACAGTGACTGTTAACTAAACAGTGACTGTTAACGTGTTGATCGTCTTGGATTACGATCATCATGTTAGAAGCAAATAACAGACAATAAAGGACAAATTTCTCAGACACAATTTTGAAAATGGACACCAGATTTAGTGGGTTGAATAATTTCACACTTGATGGGAGAAAACAATGTGTGTGTGTGTGTGCGTGTGTGTGTGTGTGTGTGTGTGTGTGTGTATGAATGATGGTGACCCAAGGATGCGAAATATATGATAAATATCTTAAATATACTGCGCAGTGACCTTCTGATAAAGATGCATAGAAAAAGAGTGGTTGCCTTCTTTCTATTACTGCTATGCAAAAGTCGAATTCAATGACTTTGAGCTCTACATTTAAATTAGCAGGGTATGAAATATCTTTATCTTAATTATCGTCCCAATACCCTGTGGCAGGTTTTTGACGCCAAATCAATAGACAGTATTGACCTTCTGCATGGACAGTGCTTGGCAAAAGGACAAAATCGATGCGCTTGATCCAGCAAACAAACACGCGTGGTGCTGGTAAGCGAAACCTGCTATTCTATTTCCCCAGAATGGGTCTGCGTATATATACGTTTGTATTCTGTATTGCTCTAGAAGACTGAGAGGAAATACAAAGTAAGAGCCTAAATGCCAAAAATAAAATTGCATTAAAATAGTGGCTAACAATACAGTACAGCATCAACAACCTTCATTGTGTGCCACACTTCATATTTGAGTTGTCATTATGTTGACTGCTCAAGTTTGGTTGGTCTGTCAACCTCTGTAGCCACTTTCAAAACCATCATGTCCTATTTGAGACATTTTATGAGGGTGTGTTTATTGTTGGTTTTGATTTTCTGAGGCCCACTGATTTCCCTGAAATGTTTGTTTACTCTGAAAACGTGGCTGGGTCATTAGTCACCAGATCAACAAGGCCACAGGTACGTGACGTTCCCCGCGGGTTACTTTCAATTAAATACATACAACGGAGTACTGTAAACACCTTTGCCAACACTTTGAAGAATGCGCGCAAACCTTGAACGAATTCACATGCTTTTGAGTAGTACAGGGAGAAGTATTCCCAAGCACACAAGCTTGCCCACAGAGGTGTGATCTGCCCGGCAAGGCTGCGAAAACACCTCAGAAAGCAAACACGGCCTCACAAGGCGAGTACTTGTTCCGAGGCCAGAGGTTTGGGCACCTATCCTTACATCTCTGTGAGAGGTGAAAAAGGCTATGGGTGAGGGATGAAAGCAGGCGATCCGCTGACAGCAGGGAAAAAAACAAACAAAAAAACAAGTTATCACTACCGACAGAAGAGTGCAGGCTGCCCACAATGCCCAAGTATCCTAAAAACGTCTATCAGTCTCATGATTGAAAAAAATCATGATGTCCCGGGAGACACAGCTCCAATCTAATCCGGCAAGACAGTTACTGGGCCTCAGAAAGTAGGTGCCAACTGTCATGCGTGCAATTTGGTGCCTTGATGCAAGCAGACTGTGACAAATGAGAGCCTACGCGGCCCGCTTGATAAATATTTTGAAAAGAAACGTTCTAATAGCTATTTGTGGCTGGAAAGTATGAAGGACCATATTGTAGAATAAAAACATAGATATAAATAATATAGATTTCATTGGATTTCATTACATTTAATGTATTTCCTGCGTAGCTTTTCTCCAGCTCCTCTGGTTTCCTCTCACATTCCAAAAGTATGCATGGTATTTTAACTGAACGCGCACGATGGCTCATCCATCCATCCATCCAGTTGACACTCACAAATCCCTTTTTTTGATGGAATGAATACGAGTGTAACACAATGACGTGGCAATGGTGACAAGCAAAAAGCATCCTTTCCTCCTGCGTCCAAATATCTTGAGAATGATAATCTGCAGCAGGTGTGACGCCAAGAGACTCTGCCCACCAACGCTCTCCATGGAGACTGCAAATAGAATGTAGAGGGGGGAAAAAACTCTTATAGCAGGCCAGCAACAAAAACACGATTGTCACATTTAGTCTTTTCTTTTTTTTTTAACTCCAGAATCAAACCGGCATTTTTAGTCCTTTGGTAATGTGTTCTTTATCTCCTGAATGTTTTATATGGTTCAGTTCATCATCAGAAATAACCATGAAACAGGGTTTGTCAGAACGGGTTACTTGGTCAAAATAAAAACTTGAGAGTAATGAACTTGAACAACAACGACATCAAAAATATAAAAGTAAAACCTCACATGAGACAAACATTGACATTGTAAAACAGCACCCTGTAATACCCCTCAGCTCCCCCAAAAAACGTTCAATATTTTACTTGGTTTCATTCTGGCATTCGATTCCGGTATGTGGCATTTGTTTTTGTAGCTGACGCAAGAACGCAAGAGAACGTCCAATTTTTTGCCTCACATTCTGTCGGCGCGACGACGAGCGCTCAAGTCTGGGATCCAGCGTATTATTTTCCTTTCCTTGACTTTCTCAGTTGAAACAGTGGCATGTCTGTTTTCAGAAATGTGAGCTTGTTATGCGTTATGATCTGCAATCTGCCTTCTTTGTGATACGTTGCCTCGCTGACCACGAGAGAATCCTTCGATAACATTCGAGTCCAGTGAGGCCTCCCATTTGGAAGGCAAACATTTATATCTTCACGGTCCTTTTTCAAGAACTACAAAAAGACTTTTGTGCATATGGCCGGAATCATTTCCACATCCAGTAATGAGTGTGTTGAAGAGACATATTGTCTGGTTATTTTTGAACAAATGATTACTTATCTTTTTCCGAGATAGGAAACTTGACTCTGATGGATGTCAACGTTATTTTTGGCATTAAAAAAAATAAATAAATTGCTGTGCAGCAGTAATCAAATGCACTGGCCTACTAATTTGTTCCCATCAAAGTGAAACGACATTTTGATGTTGTTAATGTTGTCTTATCCAAAAATCCTTCCTTCCCGTTTGTCAGAACTGGTATCTGCAGGCACGATTCTTAGCCATAAGTGCTGACCGTGCATTGAACGGGCAGTTGCTTTAAATTTTGCGCCATTGGTTGGGTTTCTTTTTCACTCAGTAAGCATCTGTTCTCCATCACCAGTTTCATCGGCGACTAGCTGCGATGAAAAAAAAAAAAGCAAAACTCTCGATACTGTAAACGGAATGGAGGACTTTTTTGTAAGTAATAAAAATAAATAAAGGGAAGAAATTCATCTTGTTCAAGTATGTTATGGAATTCTTGGGACAAATTATAATGGTTTGTTGGTACAGTACATATACAACCCTTCGTTTCCTTGTTGACTCTACGAAAGGGCCTGACAGCAAAAGTCATTAAAACGTGCAGTACGACAAATGTGGTGGTATGCAAATTAGTTGTGACCGACTCCAGATTCCATCACCTGAAAGGTTTGCATACCTGTGAGTCCATGCAGGTTTTAGGAAGCATTTCTGTTTCTCATAATTTGCACGCGCGGGATGTCTGAAATCCCGGGGCCCGAACGCCTGAACCCTTCAGCTTCTGCAAGGAGCCCCTTTCAACGGAGATCCACAAAGAAAGATTATCTCTGGCATTCCACATCTGGAAGCAATTGCAAGCAGGATTGCTGTCTTTCTTTCTTTTTTTTTTTTTCCCAGAAATACCTAAATATGTAGGACAAAGTGCACATGAAAGGAAGAAAACTGACTCTTACTGTATACCTTGATGTAAATGATGACATTTAAGGTTAGGCTTTGTTAGATTTGTTTCCGCTTTATTTTCTTAATGTAAAGAAATACAGCCAGTACTCTGCCAAGCATTTGGTATCAATAAGAAACCCTTAAAAATCTTCGAAATAACAATATACGTTGGTCAGAATCAAGGTTAGAATAGTTTGAGGTTTTTATTTATTTATTTTTTAAAATCATTTAGTTCCCCCCCCCCCCAAAAATGCTATGTTTTTATTAGTTTTATTACTAGTTTTAGCTTATTTTAATGTATAGAGTATTTTGTATGGAGCTCAAGAGTTTGGTCCAATATACACTATGTACTGTAATTAATAAAATCAGGATGATATCTAGAAAAATTGCACCTTGAATTTGGCAGTGCCTTATTATTTCTTGGGTGATTTGGGTTCGTTTGAACGCAGCAGGTTTTGTATCGTACACTCTCGGTATTATGCAAGTCTGGAAACGTTTGTGTGAGAAAATGTTATTATACAGTCATGTATCACTTCTTGAATTTTTTTTTTTTTTTAAATTGTTGGCAGAACATTTGTATCATGTTCCTGTTCTGTAACGTATTCATCTTTGCCTGGTTACTTGGTTGCCGTGCCTGCTAAATCAGTGATTGTTGTTTTCCGTCACTGGAATTTTTTTCTTTCACGGTTTCATCATCTGTATGGAGAAAAAAAACGATCTTTAATTCAGGACGATGACACTGACAAAGTGTGCTTTTCCTGCCATTGCAATGCATGAAAATTGATGTGCAGTACAGCAGCTCAAGCAGGAGCCGCCATTATTCCGACGCATCTTGTTGAGGCAGTAGCCATCATAGAAGTCTGGAACTTGGCCAGATGCATTCCTGACGAATATAAAACTGCCAACTAAGACTTGTTGCAGGGGGGGCACATCTACAGCAATAATCTGACATTGTCATATTAACCCTTTCAGGGGACAGCGGTCACTACAGTGGACAATTTATCATGTTATCAAGTTACAGGTTATTATTGGTGCAAGAAAAGGTTCATATGAAAACAGCCGTTTGTGCAGGAAAATGCTGGAATCTTCCAGTGTATTATTTTACTACTGTTGAAATGAAGATTAAAAAATAATCTACTGTATATATCTTCCAACAGTCATTCGACTGTATGTACTACTTTCCTGTCACTGAGAATTTCCGGAATAGGCATCTCCAAACTCAGATTCTAATTAATCTGATTTAGGTTGTCAAAATTAAATTTCGCTTGCATTATTCATGCCTAATATTCAGTGAGTCACAGCCTTTGCGATCTAATTAGATGAGCTTTGCAGAGACCAATATCCTGACATTCAATAGATCTTGCATTTTGGCTGTTGATAGATTAAAAGGCACCTATCTTAATCTATGCCGGGTGGCACTTCATCCAAAACAATGGCGGGTTTTCTTGATCCGTACTTTGCCACCCCAAAAATAAAAGCCCCTTTCATTTCATTCAGCTCTTGCCAATTTCCTTTCAGTATTGTTTTACGACTCCATTCACAATTGATTAGTTGAGGATTGCAAAACAAATAATATCCAAGCTTTTTCTTTTTTCTTTTTTGGTTTTTATTTGGGGGGGGGCATTCAATCTCCCACTGCTGCTTGACTAATTAAGAGTGTTTGGTGCTGAGAATGATACAACCAGCCCCCCTTAGTCTCCAAGGTAATTAAAGTCATTCGTCAGTCATATTCCTAAATAAACTGTTTCCTCTTGCCTATTTGAGACCTAATTGGAAGCATGTGCATTCAAATCTGAGCGCTTTTTTTTTTTTTTTTTTTTAAACCCTTGACGTCTTCAAGAATGAGTTGAACACACCAGTTCTCCTGGGTTTTTTTCCTCAGTGCATGCCGGCACATGTATTGTCTGAAATCTTCAGCGAGCGGTTCTTGGCTTTGAGAGAGGCCATAAAAACATTGCGTTGGTTACATCGGATGATATTCCATATATGCCTGGCCGCCGAAGCAGAGTCTGTGCCTTACAAAAGCTCAAATTAAACTCTGTGGCGTACACACGGGCAAACATACATAGAGGCTTTTGTGAGACATTTGTGCGGTTTCTTCTTTTACCCCAGCAGCAATCGGGCTTGGAAACCACTCGTTTGAGTTGGAAATTCAAGAAAGGCTGCACAATGGGTCCTCTCATCACTAACGGCATGTGGTTTCCTAAAATCACCAAGACGGGCGTGATTCCAGCCTAACGGGGGTGATCTTAGGTCACGGCATTCGGCGGGAATCATATCTCACCAGAGGCGACGGGAACGATTATGGGATTTACTCTGTCAAATGATTCCCTCCATACGTTCACTTGACAAAACGTTGTCAAGGCAGTCTGCAGAGGATTTGCCGAATGAATGTAAATCATTTCTGCTGATTTCACACCAGTTACATCACGACGAGGCACTGTATCGCAGCTCCGCTATCCAATGCTTTGTTTATAACTGTCCTCCATGTTACTGTCGGAGTGCAAGCAACGAGCAATATGCTTCGATTTTCTGAATAAAGCTGTGAGCTCAGAACAACACGATAAGTCATACGGGAACAGAGTGACTACAAACACTTGCACTGTAAACAACTGAAGTCAAGTTAAGAATTGCAACTGTTGCAAGTGCTTTGTTAGGGAATTACCGGTATGGTCATGCCACACATGCAAATGTGCAGGAAAGAAAAAGGACAAATCATAAAGGGGTTGACCATCATCACCATCATCCTTTTCTTCCTACACAACAAACAACTTGTAGGAAGACTCATTTTGGACTCATTAATCTTCAGCGATCCGTCTCACTCCAGATCCGGCTCTCCTCGTGCACCTGCTTCCTCACGGGACATTACTTCAGTTCAGAGGGTAGATAAGACGCAGTATGTCATTACTTCCATCTTGCACCTACAGCTGCTTCACGAAAAGGCATGCAAGTTCACCTGTGCAATTACCATGTATTGGTTTTGTTCAGTGGAGTATTTTGCATGTGTTGAGCGGCAAAAGTGAAAAAGCCTATGTGGAAAAAAAACCAAGGCACAGTTTGTCCCCCCACATACACTTTTATAGATGGCATGGTAAGTATAAGGCACAAAACTATAACATCCACTCTCTACTCCATAGAAAAGATTACTGGAGTTTCATTGGAGACCTTCTCTGCCTCTCGCCCGGCATGTTGCGGCACAACATGGTAGTACACTGAAAAAAAAATGGACGATAATTTGAAAGATGACATGCACCTAAAATGTCCTCATGATAGATTTGAGGCAATTGTCTACAGTGCGCCCTGTTGGTGGATAAAGGTAGTACAGCTAATGGATAATTCTCTGATATTCGGATTTAGAGGATGCAGCTGCAATATCCCAACCTAGAACCTGAGCTTCGAATCTGAGCTTTGATGTGCTTGCTTGTCTTGACTCACACGTTGTCAAACGATGTGATGGATTCTAAACACACGGGTGCATCAGAGCAGCTCGCACTTGCGCGCACCTGTTCACCCGCCGCACCGCTGGCGGAGAATGACAACAACGCTGTTTGACTTTTGAAATTGAACGAGCGGGCCGAGATGTTTGCGAGTCTTGATTAATTCGGAAGCTTGCGTCTACGTTATGAGAAATTGAGCGTTGTGCCCGACGGGGAGTGACATCAAATTAACATTTCCCATTAATTAGAATTTCTTCAACCTGACAGGACAAACATATAGACTTAAGTTAATATTGTTGTTGGATTGAGGTCAAAGGGTAAATGACAAGGTTAACGCTCTCCTTGCAACCCTCTCCGTAACTTTTCCCATAAACGCACGTCATGAAAGCTATTTTGTTGCATCTCAGTGAAGCCAGACACTGATATAAATCAAGTAATTGCAAACATCAGTCCCGTGACGATGATGTCATTCTCTGCTGGAGCTCCAAGGAATTGAGAATGGCCTTTGTAAGATGTGAAACGATGACATCGGTACCTTGAAGTCAGGTCCACATTTGAGGGTATATGAGAACGAGTCCATGTGTTTTGTTGTCAGGCCACCATCGAAGGAGAACGCTTGACTACGCTAATGAATGACATATGAGGGAGGAGAATTCATGGCATACTTCTTGAATTTGAAAAAAAAAAAACCTTGAATCATTTTCCTGAACCACCTACAGATAGGTGGCTCTTGTCGAGTTAACTTGTTTTGTGTGCGGCAAGACATCAAGCACAAATAGCTTGTTGGCATATCTTTATAGGATTTGAAACAAATCCTTATTCAGTTGGGTTAGCATTAAAAAAAAAAGAAAAAAAACACTGACTTCATATTAGATACAAAATATGCTAATCGTGCCGCTTCTTCCATCCCGGTGGAATTCCCTCTCAAGTCATTCATGTGTGGAAAAAAAACAAAAAAAGCAAAAGCTTATAATAAATGAAAGTATTCCCACGAGAACAGAGCTTACTTGAGAACTGCCAAACCCACCAGAAAACCGTGTCAGCCGTAAGATGACATCATCCTGTTTCCTCTCGACGGGTGTCCCCATGGTCTGGATTAATTCGTTGGCTTCAATATAGTGACGTTCTGGAAAAAAAGGGGGCAGTAATCCAATATTGAGGGACAGAATTGTTGTTGTTTTCTTTTTTTAATTGCTGTGCTTGAGTTATGTGGCATTGTGCTCCCCTCAGTGCGTCAATGTGAATAGTCACCCTTTTAAAAAGAGCATAGAGTGACACAAAACTGACATTACCAGCTCACATTACCCCCAAATGAAATCGACTTCGTTTTCCTTGGCTTTGCTCCCCACCCCACAAAAAAAACCTTGCACAGTCTCTGGACTCCGCGACTGACTCTAATGACAGACACGTGGTGCTGAAACTTCACCCAAAGATGGAGATCACTGTCATTTCGTGTTTAGCATGCAAATGTTGACAAGGCTTTCAATATATTCGGAAATGTAGAAAAATATGTTTGGACTTTGCACAATACATCAATTGCAGCATGTATTTGTGTCTTGTGCGTCCTCTGCTTGGAGTCAGGGGCTTATACTGTATGTTGTTTTTTTTTTTTTTTTTTGCGGGGGGACACCCAAGAGTGAAGCTATGTGAACATCATAATCTGTACAGGATCAGTTGATGTCATTTTTTTTTTCCAGATTCATTGTATAAGGGAACTGAATAAAATATGTTGCCATAACGAAAAGAATGAAAACACATCAAAACGCACAACCACAAAAAATGTCCTTATTTTACCAACATGTTTGGCTGGCGCAAAAGAAGCCTTCCTGCCTGGCTTCGCTATTGACGTCTCGCGGCCTCAAGCCGCTCTTCGATTAAATAATTGCTGAGCGATCGATGAAGGTGCTTGGAAAGAAGGCAGAGCGGGTGATGTGGCATGTGAAAGTGCAAAATAACCTTTGGGGAATGTCAGGTGACAACGGTTTGAAAACCCACTTTCAGCGGGACATCTCTGAGAAGACCAGTGTTGTCAATAGTCCCCGAGAGGGTTCAGACATCTTGGCTGTTAAGGCATCCGCCAGGTCAGTATAAAAGGATGCAGTCATTTGTAAAGGTCCATCTTGTCGTCAAGGGAAACGGGATTGCTAGCCCATGTTGGCGTATGTTATCAAGGAAGAATCCATGTACAGTATCTAAATATCCATCACGTGTATTTTCAATTACTTGCTTCCAAATTTATGAAAATTGCCGATTTTTAGTCGTAGTCATGAAACTAACATTCAGCTTTCTTTCCCCACAAAGGTTTTACAGCAACAGCCGCCCAACTCGGGAACGACCTCCAAGCGGTGTTGGGCGTGCCTTCGGGCTACGAACAGTTCCCGGTCTACAGCCGACCACTGGGTCGGCAGGTACCCGGGTCGCTGCGGCTTTAGGAGCCGCTTTGGGACCCAGTTGGAGGTTGCTCAACAGCAACAGCAACAGCCGACCGGGATTCCACCTTTGGCCACAATGCGACGCGGGATTCTACTTAAGGTAAGTCATTTTAAACTAAAAAGAAACATTTTAAAATGGGGTCAGAAGTGGACGTTTCGCCGTCATCGTTTGCTGCCGGGTGTGTTGGTGAATTCGCTTTGACGTCCAAAAACACCACTTACGAGTGTGTGTTTTCACAGGCACAGTACACAATTTCCAAATGCAGCTTTTGTTATAATAAAGCAATCTGCAGTTCATGTTTGAGCTGTAACCTCCCCTTGTACCGACTGACGCACTCACATTTTTTGGGGGCACTCTGAATAACTGAATAACTATTTCCGTAATGATTTATTTTTCTTCCAAGTTTACTTTTTTGTTAACTATAATAACCTTTGTTCCCATATCAGTGCACCACCCTGACATCTGGCATTCACATGGACAATCATTTTCGAAATGTTGCCTCGATTTATCTATAAAACATCAAAGAACTCAAAAGGATCCCCCGCCTCCTGGCCCCCTTGTTTTTACTAGATCATTTTTGTGTGCTTTTCGACTCAAGTGAATGTTATTATGGCACCGCAAAGACAGAAGAAGAGAAGGAAGGCTTTGTTTCAATCTGAGCCTCTGTAGAACGACGCAAGATCTGAAATGATGCAGAACCGATCACATGGATTGTACGTGTTTCGTTTCTTTTAAAGAGAACCAAAAATAGACACCAGCAAAAGGCTGACGGCATATCGGTTAAAGATGTTCATTACCAGTGTATGCTGTGTAACTAATTAGACATTTAAATTACTTTTTGATTGTTTTTTTTTTCTGCTGCACACAACACAACTAAATCATACATGGACATTTAATTTTTTTCCTTGCTTTTTTTCAAAACATCGATGTCCTTTGATTTTCATGCTTTGGAATAAGTCCATATTTTTGCGGGCTCAAATAAATAGACCCAACAATACGCATCCAGTCCTACGCTGTCGCATCAACCTTTTGAACGCAGTCCAAATATGAGACGTTAAATCATAGTCAGTCTTGAGGAATGAAATGTGTATATTGAATATTAATTGAGATTAACGACAGGAAAGGATTCTGACGGTCAGACACGATCAATCTCATGCATCGTAATTAAACATACCAGGAGAAGATGGAGTCGGAGTCAGAGTTAGCGGCGGTGACGAGGAGGAGGCGGATTGTGCGATTGTGCGTCGGGGGAACAAAATAAAGTGAATTTTGAAAAGCGACGTTCAGGAAACTGATTAGCGCCGACATTTATGCCTCCATATTGCGCAACAGAAAGAAAACACAGATTTGGAGAGGAACGGTTTGACAGAAAGGTTGTTTATTGTCTTTGAAATGTCATTTTGGTAAAAAAGTGAGCCAAGACTCCCTCAGTGCATCACTTGTCGCCAACTATAATGAGGATGACACATAAAATATTAACTGGTGACATGGAACTGTGTTGGAAAAACAATGTTTTCTCACTCCCATTTCTCCCACACACTCAATCAAGACTCCTCTCAACCTTCCCCGGCAGTCAGCTTGCTGTGTTCTAGTGGTTTGGCACCGGGTGGCTTTTAAATGCCTGTGTATTGCGTGCCTTGTAAATACTAACACTATTAATCTTAATAGCGGCGCGGCAAGACGTCTCTGGGGGGTGTCTCACCTCAAAGGCAACAGACCGGCTGTAAAATCTACGAACGGTGTTGTCCTCCCGTGTCATTCAACACATGTACCAATGCCTCCCAACTTCCCTCTCTTGTCGACATGCAAATGTTGTGGGCAGGAAAAAGAGATGTGTGGGCAACAGCTACTGCGAGGCTATATTTGACTTAATAACAGGTATGTTTAGGACAGCGTATGATGGCTCGAGGCAACTTTGAACTCCTATCTCCCCGCTGAGAACCGATGTCGACCGCCAACTACGCGTCTAGGCCGAGCTTTTTATATAGAAAAGCCCATTGTGTAAGCCCATCAGGCCATGTAAGTGTTTGCTAGCGCACAAGCAAGCCATAATAACAGAGCTGCGACAATTTGTGGTTCAGAGCTCTCCCATCATTTTCTCATTCCTCACTCCAGCCAACATCAACCCAACCCATCAAGCCATTCCACTCCATCCCAGTTGGAAAAACAGAAACAAAAGTGGCCGCGCAATGATTGCTCCGGCCTTCGCCGCAGCGGAGCCTGTTCTTGTCGCTCTCATGTTTTTATTTATACGCTCTACGAGTGAGCTGATTCATCACTACTAGTCTCATTATGTACGGGGGGAAGTTAGGAATTTAATTACACCCAACTACCCACAGTGGAATCTTTAGATTTGAGATTCTAAACGATGGATCATGTCGCCGTGATCAAGGGAAAAAAAAACCCCCAAAAAAAAACCACATGATTTTCAGTTTCAGCCAAGTTTCATCATCTGGAAACTTGAATGAAGCTAGCGATAGCGAGTGGTGTCGTGCCGGAGTGGCATCAGATATTCGACCTCAATTTCATTTTAAACCTCGAGAAGAAACTCAATGTTATGTGGAGATTACATGAAAGCAATTTCACACCCAAAAAAAAAAAAATGTTGTTTGCCATCACACCAACTGGTAAATTAATAACATCGCCCGCAACAAAGCAGCTTGCGGAAGAGGGCTCCTCTCTAATTAAATTGCACGTCCCACAATTTAATCTGTTTTTGTATTTCTATCGAAGGGGTGAAGTGAAACAACAGAGTCGAGCCAGGGACGCTTCTACAGCAGTGGCGCTGGTGCCAAGTATGTATAGCTCCTAACTGCTACCACATGTGCGCCGACAATTAGAACCACCGAAAACCACCAACAGTTCTTTTGGCAGGCGTAGATAAGAAAGAGAAAAACGACTTCCCCAACCCAAGAGAAATCTGCAGAAATATTTAAGACTTTTAGTTTAAATGGTTAATTTCCAGAGAGGGTACTTTACGGTTTCTTGGATGAACATTGATAGCTCTAAGCCGCGCAAACCACTCGAGAAGCAATCGGGTTTTATAAGCTAATTATAGCGCAAGCACACTCGCATTCATTTGAGAGAGGGTATGATTGATTTTCATCCAGGGTGGTATCGAGGCCGATGGAAGCGGGGTTATTTTCTTTACGGAATAAAAATGACTCCTGTTTTATTTGTCACGTTTTGGAAGAGGTAACGTCCATCTAAGATGACAATGCCTTTCCAGATGAGTTCACTTGCCTTCATTTGCTTTGGTTGGGCTGCGTTTACCGCGTGTTTTGGAAAGAGAGCAGAGGAATTAAAAGGCGGAAATCAAAAGCATCTGTTTTTCATCATGTCGCTTTTCCTTGTATCAATTCAAGATTATTTCCCGTTGTGAGAACGGTTTCAACAATGGCTGCAAAGGGACAGATAATTTCCAGTAAAGTCTGCAGATTTCCAGAAACTATCCACAGGAACTTGAACCAAAGCATTCCTGAAATATCCCACACTTTGAATGGGAAACGTGGGATCATTTATTCAGAGTCTCATGGAACTATTCCATCCTAAGCAGAGACATCGCCGTAAACAAAAAGCTGACGCCGCGCTTGCAGGTGTGCGGCGGCATCTATAAAAAAGGCGGGTTATTACAGGTGCGGAACCAGACGCTGCCGCGCCGTCGGTGCTTTTGCTGACAGCGTGCTATATGCTCCCTTTGCCGCACTGACCCCCGAAGGCTGCAAGCAGCGGATACGACATGATGACAGAACTTCGGTTTTGTGGTTAGCACTGAAATGACTAAACGGGTGTCAGACACTTGGCACAAGATGTTAAATCATCAAGTCTGTGTGTGGGTGCGATGAATATGTATGAAGGCACACTTACCTAATGCCTCGGACTCACAGTAATCTTATTGTGGAAATATGTTAATAACAAAAAAGAAAGGAATTTTTTTGGTTGCCTATACTAAAAACTCTTTTAAAAAATATATATTTAAATTACCATGTTCAATTCCAGCTCCGGCCTCCCTGCGTGGAGTTTGCATGTTCTCCCCGGGCCTGCGTGGGTTTTCTCCGGGTACTACGGTTTCCTCCCACATTCCAAAAACATGCATGGCAGGTTAATGGAACACTCTAAATTGTCCCGAGGTGTGAGTGTGAGCGCGCATCGGAAAATGGATGGATGGATGGGGATAATTAAATTATCTAGGGCCTTTACAAATATTATGGTGCTAGTGAATCGTTCGCCTCTCGACTTAAACTTTGCTATTTCATCTATAGTACGTACTGTACGAATTAAAGTCACTGATAAGTTCACTTCCCCAGCCAGACACTTGGGTGTCATTTTGGATTCAGATTTTCCCTCAATGACCAACATCAACAAAGTTGTCCAATCATTCATTCATTCATTCATTTACTTACCATTGCCAAGATGAAATTAATTCTCATCAAACCCGACCTTGAACGACTGCTCCATGTCTTCTTAATGTCATGACTGCAACTCACCGACATTCAAAAATCGGTTGTCAAAAATCACTCTCTTCATTTGGTTCACAATGCAGCTGCTTGGCTTCTCACCGACTGCACTAGATGGCGCCGTCTCACCCCAATCGTCTGCTTCCCAGTCTGTTATAGAATTAACTTTAAGGTTTTACTTCTAAAGTGCATGTGGGTGGCACTGGCCCCAAACTAAATATCCGAAGTGTTAAGAGACTTATAACCAAAGGTGATAGAACATTATTTATTTATGTATGATTTTTTTTTTTTTTTTTGTGGGGGGGCAAATTTTATTTTGGGAATTATGTTTTAAAATGAATTTCCTCTTGGTATCAGTTGGGCTGTCGGATTCCTGTATTACCTTGAACTTTACTCCCTCCCCCCACATCAACTTTTTGGTGCACACATCAGCCCAAACCCCCCCACAAAAAAAAAAAACATTTCCAGATAAAGCGGATACAGTGTGCTCCATACGCTCCTG